CCCAAATGTCCATCAGTGGATGAATGTATAAGCAAATGGTGGTATAGACATACAATGGAATATGATTTCGCCATATAAAGGAATGATGTACTAATATATGCTACAACATGAACATATACCCAAAATAATCATGCTAAGTGAAAGAAGGCATACACATATCATATGATACTCTTTATATGAAATACGCAGCATAGAAAAATCCATTAAGATGGCTGAACACAGTAGCTCATACCTATAACCCCAGCACTTTGGGAGGCCAAGATGTACAGAACACTTGAGGCCAGGAGTTCAAGACCAGCCTAGCCAACATAACAAAACCTCATCTACTTAAAAATACAAAAAACTAGCCAGGCATGGTGGTGTGCACCTGTAATCCTCAGGGGACTGAGGCACAAGAATCACTTGAGCCCAGGAGGCAGAGGTTGCAGTGAGCCAAGATCATGCCACTGCACTCCAGTCTGGGTAACAGCGCAAGGCTCTGTCTCAAAAAAAAAAAAAAAAAAAAAATCCATTAAGGCAGAATGCAGGTTGGTGGCTGGGAGGAGGGGATAATAGGAGAAATTCTTAATAGATAAGGGATTTTACTTCCAAGTGATGAAAATATTTTGGAACTAGATAGATGTGATGGTTTGTACAACATTATGAGTGATGAGTGTACTAAGTGCCACTGAGTTGTTCACTTTAAAAAGACGAGTTTTAATGCATGCAATTCGCCTCAATAAATTATTTTTTCAACAGAAAAGAGAAAAACAGCTTTTTCAGGCTAAGTAGGAATGGGATGAGATTTTTACTAGGAACTGAGATTCAGGCCCTTTTTGGTTTATTTGTACGTGGGACCTCACATTGTTAGAGACGCCAGCTAGAATGCGAGTATCTTTGAGAGCCATGTTTGTGTCGTTGCCGTAGGAGCTGATTTTATAAATCCTAATAAAAGCAGATTTGCGAAGGTGATTTATACTTTTCTGGCTGTAGGTTGGAACACTAAGGTAAATATTTTGTTTTCTCCTTCACTCGGAGAAAAAAGGAGCAGCTTTTCTGCAGCTCTGTCTGAGGCCCCAGCCACCTGTGTGTAAGCAGAGCTCGGCATTGCCCTGATGGACGTGGTGTTGTTATCTGAAGAACAGGTGTAGTGTGCACAGCGAGGCAGGAGGTGAAGTCAGACCAGCTGCCTCTGAGATGGTGCTCTCTCTGTCTTACAAGAAGGACTGATCCCCAGCAGGAGGTTGGGGAGGAGGCGAAAGGGGGAGTATTTTGTCTATGATATTTCAATAATTCTAAAGTATATGGTATAGTTGGCTGTAGAGATGGTAAGCCTAAATAAAATTCCAGTTCTGCAACTGACTATCTATGTGTCCTTGGCGAGTTACTTAACTTTCTGCACCGCAGCTTTCTGACCCCTAAATTGGGGATCATAACGCTGTCTTATAAAGATTTTAAGGATTAGATGAAATCCACACATGCAGTGCCTGGCCCATGGAGATGCACAGAAACATTCACCTCTCTGAGGAGGCAATGCTCTGAAACATGTCACCTCTGAGTGTTGACGCCAGGGAAATGTGAGTGTTCCTTTCAGCCTGTGTGACTCTTCCCGCTTTACCCTTTTCACCCCCCCCTTTACTTTTATGTCCCTTTCTTCGTGCTGCCATTTAGAGGAAGTGAAAAATATCTGGGTTTTGTTTTGTTTTATCATCAACTGTCTTCCCTAAGTAGAGAAGACTGCATTTTTCTTTTTCTACCTTTTTTTTTTTTTTTTTGAGACGGGGTCTCATTTAGTCACCCTGGCTAAAGTATAGTGGTGTACTCGCAGCTCACTGCAACCTCGAACTCCTGACCTTAAGCCATCCCCCTGCCTCAGCCTCCCGAGTAGCTGGGACTACGGGTGTGTGTCACTGTGCCTTTCTAGTTTTAAAAATTTTTTGTAGAGATTGCCAGGGTGGGGGTTCTCACTGTGATGCCCAGACTGGTCTCAAACTCCTGGCCTCAAGTGATCCTCCTGTCTCCACCTCCCAAAGCGCTGGGATTACAGATGATGAGCCACCCTGCCCAGCCAAGACTGCTTTTTTTCTCTTCCCATTCCTGGTTTGCCACATAGATAATTATATTTCATTCTCACAGGCCTTTATATAAGAAAGAAATGTGCACATTACCCCTGTGTATTTACATAGTTGCGTCCCCCTCTCTACTGTCAACAAAATCACTGACCTTCAACAAACATCACGTTATCAATGGCTTTCCGGGTACCTTCTCTTTGCCTTGGTTTCCTTCTGTTCATCTACAGCACACTTTTTCTCCCTCTGACCAGTTCTCCCAAGTCTTAGACATTGATTAGAATGTCTGTTCTTCCTCAAATTCTGATTTGTTAGTACCTTTCTTCCCCGCTTCCTTAATTCAGGAAACATTTATTGGACACCTGTTAGAAGCAAGGCAGGGTGCTATGATGAATCAGAACCAGGCCCTTCCTGCAAGGAGAGTCCAGTGCAGAGAATTAGACAGAAATCACTCTGATCACAGTTAAGCTGTGGGACAGGATTTTACTGAACTCTGGTTTTGTAGCCATTTCATCCCTGAGTCATGCTGCTTCCATAATTTTGGGTAATTTGTCCAAAACATCTTTTGCAGGTTATATTTTGGAACTATTATAAATCCCCCTTTCCTAAATTTTTGAGTGTGTGTTCTTTCTCCTCTTGGAAGTTTATATGGGTTTTAATGAACTGTTTGTCCTGTAAACCATTCCGTAGAGCAGTTCTGATTTGTTCTAATTCTTTGCTTTCCCCTGGCCTCTTGAAGAACTTTTTAATGTCCTCAAGCTCAAATATATCTACTTCTGTTCTCAAGTATAGAAGTTTCCTTCCCATGTAGCATTAATGTTGGGCAATCAGGTTGGCATTCTTGGCCTCATTTCCCAGTTCATGGTGGCCCCAAGAGGTGGAGTGGCAAGGCCCCGAGCCTGTCTAACTAGCAGGTGGTGAAAGGCAGCCCCGGGCCACACCGTAGTCGTGCAGTTCCAGTGAGGCCTAACCCTCCATTGTGAGCCGCCCGCTGTGATGGTCACTTTGATGACAAGGACCACGGCTCCCTGAGAATCGGCCTGCAAGCAGCCTGCTCCTCTAATGATGGAACACATATGGCTGCTGGCAGTGGGAGACAGTATGAATATTAATAAACTATATTTCACTTTTATTACTTTTTCATTAGGTTTTCATGGAGATGGTGTTTGTGAGTGAAGTCCATGCACTGAGCTACAGACAGGCATTTTGTTTTCTTGACAAAATGGTGAACCTTGCAGCCAGAGGCAAGAGCATGTTTAGGAGCAGCTAGCTAGGAAAAATGCCAGTAAACATTAGCAGGCCATATCATACGGGGCGAGCCTGTGGATTTCTGTATTTTAACTGTTTTCTGAGGCAGGTAAATACCACAGGTTCAGCAGTTTTGCAGGATATTCCTCGTTTGACTGTTCCTTTTCTATTGTAATGTCTGCATGCAACTGTTAGGCTGTTGCCCTGCCCCATAAGTGGTTCCCAGTCACCTGTCCTGGGGTTAACAGGCAAAGCCTTGTTCTCCTGCCCACTCACTCTGCACCTTCCAGCACTCATCCTCCACCTTCCTCTGTTCACCTGACATCTTTCCACCAAACCAAAGCAGACACTACCTCCCGCGTTTATCATAGCTGAGTGCCCATCTCTGTTTTGATGTGACTGTGGGCCATGCGCACAGGAATGAGCAGGCCACCAGGCAATGGTGGGCTTGTCTTGATCAGTGAACCTTGGCAGGTGGTGAGAACGCTTTGATACCCAGGCAGACCAGAACAGACTCCCCATGTAGTTCCAGAGACCAAAGGTGGATCTGGGCTAGGGCAGGAATGACTCCTCAGCATGACAGTGCCCCATGCCTTTGGTCCTGCCTTGGGAGGAGACACCTGTTGGAACTCTGAGCCGTGTGTTGCTGGGATACGTCATGATCATCGATCCAGGGTATCTTTGTGTTGGTGATGGGTGTCTGTCACTGGGCTAGGTGACAGAACCTTGCTCTGTTGATACATATCTGATGTCTTGTGGAGCATTTAAGGACACACATGTCTCTGGCAGAATGGAGCATGGCAGACTGTGAGAGTTACAGGAGGATGGATTAAAGTTCATCCTTTTATTTCATGAGTCATAAAGAGCTGATGAATTTTTGCTAATTCGAAGTGTGTCTGTTTCAGCCAGGTCAAAAGAGAAATCTGAGAGAAACCTTCTGTACTGAGTAATGCAGACCCTTCAGACTTAACCTTTCTTGATGATTTATTGAATAGGAAAAAAAAAGTATATTTCTGCTTTTGCAGTTCCAAGTTTCTTCTCAGTTTAGAATTAATCACTTCAAGGAAAGACTGCACTCTTTATGCACATAGAAGTGGCTTGTTTTTAGAGTTGGATTATCACTCCTTTCATGCGTTCAGTTTGCAGCAAGCATTTATTGAGTGCCTACTGCCTGCTGGATACTGCATTTTAGTATCTGATAAATGCATATGTTTTTAGAAATGTTTACCTGAGTCACACATTATTGGATAATAAAGATATCATGTGTATATAAATTTTCCAAGTGACTAAAACTTACCCATTTCAACACCATACTTAAAATGTTTTGTTTTGTTTTGTTTTTCTGGACAGAAATTTAACAGGAAGACATCATAGCATCCCACACCTTCTGATACAGAGTAGAGGACAAAGGGGAATGAATGCTACTGGCATTTTAATAAGCGTCTGCTAAAGGCCAGAGGCCTACATTTAATCTTTGGGACAACTCCCCATTTAGTGGGTGAGAAAATTGAGTCTGAGGAAGCCAACTGCCAAGTGGCACAAGGCTAGAAGTAGTGCTGCTGGGATTTGAACCAGGTGTGTCTGACCCCCAGACACACGTTTCTTCCACCAAGTGGTGCTGTCTCTCCAACTGAACCCCTTCCTAATCCCTCGGAGTTGTTATGAACGTGATGAAATGTGTTCAAACACAGACATGCACTTAGATGCTCTATTTAGATGTTTAATTATCTTTGCTTCAGTTAAAAGGCTCCTTGTATCTGTGTTCATTCAGTTAAAATTCTAACTCTAGCTGCCATTTATTAAGGGCCAATTATATGCAAGGAATTTTACATGCATTATCTCTGTTCTTCACAAGGTATTTTTTCCATTCTGTGGATGAGGAAACAAGCTCAAGGAGGTCAAATAACTTGCCCCAAATCCTATAATTACTAAGTGATAGAGCCTTTGGAGTCTTTCTGCCTCTAAAACCTTTGCATCTTCTCACTGTGGTTGGTCTCTGTTCCTCTCAGCGTTGGGAACTGTTGTCAATATGCCAGCCCCTTCCTGCAGTGGCTGTCTCCTGTTCTAATGTCATGTTCCCATCTCTTCATGACTGCAGAATCAAGTCACCAAACCTGTTGGAGGTAATGGAAAAAATATTGGCATAGGAACCAAACGACCTGGCTTCTAGCCCCAAGCTGGGCATGTGACCTTAAGCAAGCCCTTGGCTCCTGGAATTGAGAGCCTTACTTCTTTCCTGCCTGGGATGGGCATTTGTCACGAATGTGTGAGAATCTGCATATGTTCCACCCACATAATGGGTACAGACGAAATTATGTTTGAGACATAAGCATGTAACTTTTTTTCTGATGCATATAGATGCTATTGTGATTAATAAATTGGAAAATGTGGCTTGGCTACTGTGGCTTTTTGGTATTTTGTATTTTCTCAATTGGAAGATAATAACAATGCAATTACTATCATGTGGGATCTAACCATTCCCCCACCCCCAGTTCTACAGATGAGGATAGAAACCCACTTCATGTCAGGGAGCCACGGTCACCCCTGTCTGTACACAGGAAAAGAACCTGTCCTGCTCCCTTAGTAGGATTGCTGTGCAAGTCTAGGATGTGGGAACATAGTGCAGGGTGTACAGAGCTAGCTCTATACCTTTGACCTTGGCATTAAGCAGGCTCTCAGGGAGGGCCTGACGCCCTCTGTGTAGCCAGTGTGCATGAGCTTTATGCACGGATTTTACAACATCTATTTTCGGTGCTCAAAGGCCTTTTTGAGTTCACTTCCAGGTTCTGGATTATGTTCTAGGTAGTTGCTGGTGCCAAATGAAAATGAGCTCCAAATGCTATTAAATGTATATATTTCTTTAAAAAAGAAAATACTGTTTCGGATACTTCAAAATTAGAAACTGCACCAAGGGTGTTGGTCGTTTATTTGAGCGCTGGCCTATTTAAAATTTTTAGAAAACCAAAAACTGTCCATCTACTGTCGGTCTACTGATATGTATGTAATGTTATATCAAAAACCTTTTACCTTAAATTTTACTTTTTAATATATGACTGTTTAAAAATCGTCTTTTTATAAATATCCGGGTTTTGGTGGATTTAATACCTTCCCTAAAAGGAGAAATAAGTATACCACATATATTTCTATTCCCCAAGAACTCTGGATTTTTTTCATAGGCCGCAGTTTTTAATGTATTATTTATTTTTGAGGTATTAATATAATTTTGTACTTGACAGAGCACCATCATGTATACAGTTTCATTTAATCATCTGAGCAGCTCTGTTTCATCCCCACTTGCACAGGTGGAAACTGAGAATCTGCCCTGTCCCTGGAAGCAGAGCCACGAAGGAGTCAAGCCAGCTGGTCCCCAGCCAGCTCTCTCCATACCAGGCTCACCTCCTTACCCCAGCTGGTTTCGCTGCTGTGAGGCAGCTCACTGTGCCACACTTATCCTATGTGGTTTATGAGGGCTCATGAGGTGAAGGGTCAGGCTTTCATTTTGGTCCAATGTTTCACATAGAAATTGTGCTCCATGCAGCAGTGCCAGGTCAGAGTGTAAGTGACTCTAAGCCACATGTTACTCTTGGGTGGGCAGGGAGCGGGGTTGCAAAAGAGCAAGACTTAATGACACTGGATATCTGCTATTATTGTCTTATTACATGAAAAGAGGGCCTAAGTTTGTTGTCACTCTCTCCGCAGATATAAACACTGAACTTTCTTAGTCATAATGGGGAGGGGCTAATCAGCGTGCTAAATTACCGGCAACTGCAGTATTATTTGATGTTCGGTTTTATCAGCAAGGGTGCCAGATGTTTGCACAATAGAAGCTATGGAACTATAGGGACATATAAAGCAGCTCGCAGCTAACCTCATATAGAGCCAGTACCACACTGTGATAATAAGGGTAGGGGGGCGTTTTCCTTTTGTCCAAAGAAAAGAGGTTTCCCACAGAATCTCAACACTGTGGCCCCGAAAGTGATCTTGGCAATTATGTAATCTCACCTCCTTCATTACAGATTCTTGTTATTTATGTTAAATACATTTGAGGCTTAAGGCTCTCGGCCAGGTGCTAAAGGTGAGCATTTGCAGGCTTCCCAGGCCAAGATTGGCCGGGATCAAACACCCGGTTCATAGGACGTCTTAGTCCCTTTAGTGTTGCTATCAAGGAATACCTGAGACTGGGTAATTTATAAAGAAAAGAGGTTTATTTGGCTCATTATTCTGATGTCTTCAGAAGTTCAAGATTGATCATCTGAACATGACATGTGATCATCTGCTGCCACAGGCTGCCTCCACTCATGGCTGAAGGTGAAGGAGAGCCAGCGTGTGCAGATCACATGGCACTGGAGGAAGCAAGGCAGGGGCAGGGGAGTGCCAGGCTCCTTTCAATTTGTATTTATTTTATTTTATTTTTAAAATTTATTTCTATTTTTTGTAGAGACAGTGTCTCACTATGTTGCCCAGGCTGGTCTCGAACTCCTGGGCTCAAACGATCCTCCCACCTTGGCCCCCCACCCCAAAGTGCTGGGGCTGGCTCTTTTTTACAGCCAGCTCTCGTGGGAACAAATAGAGCAAGAACTCATTTATTACTGCAAGGGCAACACTAAGCCATTCATGAGAGATCTGTCCCCATGAGCCAAATACCTCCCATTAGTTCCCACCTCCAACACTGGAGATCACATTTCAACATAAGATTTGGGGGAACAAACATCCAGACTGTAGCATAGGGAAGCCAGCATCTGTCCACAGCCTGCTGTGTGTCCCTACTCTTCTTGGCCCTCTGTCCTCCCCTGACTCTGTGTGCAGTGTTCATACCACTAAGTGGGGACCGATGCTCTAGCAAATGGCCCTTGTGTTGACGCATTCACCACCCCTTTACACTGGCGTAGTCCGGCAAGCAAGTGTTCGGGAATGGGTCTGGGGGCTTTCTGGGTGCAGCTCATTTCCCAAGCGCCTTCCCTGGCACTCCTTTAAACCTGCTGTGTCAGCTGCCCCTCCCCACACCACCCCCCCACCGCTCCTCATGGACCTGCATCGATTGGGCCCCACCTTGAGGCTCCCCCAGTCCCACGTGCACACCGAGGTGCCCTGCGCCCTGCGTGAGTGCTCACTGTGGATGGTGAGCAAGGACGTCCATCCAGCTTTTTTCCCCCTCACAGGCTGCCTGAGGCCTTTGTCCTTGTCCTGTCAGGGAAGCTCTGCCTCTCTCCTGTTGATTGACTCACTGCGTGACTCCTTCCCACTCCTCTATTTCGCATTTTGGAGTTAGAAGTCTCCAGACCCCAGTTAGTCCTGGCTCCTCTCTAGCAAAGCGCAAGCCATAGCTTGGGATTTCTGAGCCACACAATTACATGTGGGGCCAGACATGACCCCTGGACCAGTGGGAAGCTGTGTGTGACAGGGATGGGCAGGTTTGTAATACGAAAGTTCCAGGCTGAGCTCATCAGGTGAGAAACATTTCTACACAGCTCCCCCATAGCAGACCCAGTATTCTTCACCATCAACAGACATAAGGTAATTGAGACAGGAAGGTGCTACCTATGAGGAACTTGCAATTTAGCTAATATATATAAATGATGTTGTGTGAAAGTAATTCCGGGCTGTTTCACAAGAAATATTTATTTTCATTCCAAGTTGGATAGCAAGCCAATTCTTTCTTATAAGACAGCATATAACATACATAACTTCAGAATGACACACTTGTACTGCCTAAATCTTAATCCTGAGAACGTCAAGGTTCCTTTTGGTATGTGGGCTTCATTGTGATGATTGAATTAGGCAGCCCTGTTAACGCCAACAAAATGTGACCGCTTTTCTCTGATTGCATTTCCCAACTTCCATGTTTTCCCCATAGCCGTTTTCCCTGCCAGCAGTTCATTTCCCCAGCCCTTGAGGAGGACTCTGTGGGGTCTGTGGCTGCATTTACACCCCAGCCAAACGTGGCACTCATCGGTTGTCTCCAGGCTGCACAAAGATTCAACTTTAGCTTTTGCTCTTGGTCACCACTTGGCAGTTAGGAAAGTTTTCATTTTGAGAGTTTCTCTTCATTTACCTTGTTAATATTCAGGTTTGACTTGTAGTGATACCATAAGGTATAAATTCTTAGTAAAACTGGGAATAAAATTGTGCTATTTTACTGTACATAAGCCCCTGAATGTACCCAAAAGTCTTATACGAGTTGTTGGTCACTTTGACTTTTTTTCCTCATGTTCTATACTTGTGGCATTAAATTCACATGCAGGCAGAATCCGTCTTATAATGAACATTAGTATTTTTAAGTTTTGCTGTCTGGATTTTGGTTAGGTGGGAGGTGGGAAGAGGGAAAGTGATTTTACATGGGAACTCATCTCTGGTGTTAAAAATAGTCAATGGAGGCATATGATTGATACACAAATATTATCCTGTGCCACATTATTCAGGGGAGGACTTGATGCTAAAATTGTAGACTGTAGATGAAAATAAATAGCCTGCCAGCCCTCTGAGACATCTACCTTTAACTGGGATCATACTTGCAACCATAGCCCTTGGAAGAGAACCAGGCAGCAGCCATCAGCTCCTGCCTTTTGGCCCTGGACATCGGCCCAAACTCTAGAGTTGAGGGAGTGAGGAGGCCATTCTTCCAGTCCTTCCTGTGTCTTCCAGTCTCTAGCTGTTCTCAACTGCTTCTGATGTTCAGAGGTCAAGTTATCATTTACTTGACAATCACTCCCAGTTAGGGGGAGCGGTAAGGAGAGGAGATTGAAAGGGAAAAAGTGGAAAAGTGGAGGAGACTGCCAGGCCAAGAGAATGAGAAAGGGAGTGCCTCTTGATCTCGATGAATGAGTCATCAGCTCCAGACTCACGTGGTCATGAACGAGGAGGAGCTCACACAGGCCCGGTCTGGCCAGGCTTCAGAGGGCAAGAGGAGGGATGGGGTGTGTGTGTGTGTGTGTGTGTGTGTGTGGGTGTGGGTGTGGGTGTGTGTGCCCAGTGGATTGTCCCTGCAGGCTCAATGGGCTGCATGCATGGCGTGTGTGCGTGTGTGTGTGTGTGTGTGTTCGCCCAGTGAATTGTCCCTGCAGTCTCAATGGGCTGTGTGTGTGTGTGTATGTGTTGGCCCAGTGGATTATCCCTG